CTCTCCCTCTCTCTCGCTTCCTCTCTCTCTCTCTCTCTCTCTCTTGCGCTCTCTCTCTCTCTCTCTCTCTCTTTCTCTCTCGTCACGGGCTCGTGAGATCAGCCAGGGTGGCTCCCCCTTGGGGCTCCCAAATGATGCCCCTGGCAGCGTTTTGCGACCATGAGGCTCTCAAGAGATACATGTTTGGGGCGCCAAACGGCAATTCTAGCTGAGGCGTCCCACCAAAATCGGCGCGAACGGGCTCGTGAGATCAGCCAGGGTGGCTCCCCCTTGGGGCTCCCAAATGATGCCCCTGGCAGCGTTTTGTGACCCTGAGGCTCTCAAGAGATACATGTTGGGGAGGCCAAACGGCAATTCTAGCTGAGGCGTCCCACCAAAATCGGCGCGAACGGGCTCGTGAGATCAGCCAGGGTGGCTCCCCCTTGGGGCTCCCAAGTGATGCCCCTGGCAGCGTTTTGTGACCATGAGGCTCTCAAGAGATACATGTTGGGGGCGCCAAACGGCAATTCTAGCGGAGACGTCCCACCAAAATCGGCGCGAACGGGCTCGTGAGATCAGCCAGGGTGGCTCCCCCTTGGGGCTCCCAAGTGATGCCCCTGGCAGCGTTTTGCGACCATGAGGCTCTCAAGAGATACATGTTGGGGGCGCCAAACGACAATTCTAGCTGAGACGTCCCACCAAAAATCACAAAAATCGGCGCGAAACGGGCTCGTGAGATCAGCCAGGGTGGCTCCCCCTTGGGGCTCCCAAATGATGCCCCTGGCAGCGTTTTGCGACCATGAGGCTCTGAAGAGATACATGTCGGGGGCGCCAAACGGCAATTCTAGCTGAGACGTCCCACCAACATCGGCGCGAACGGGCTCGTGAGATCAGCCAGGGTGGCTCCCCCTTGGGGCTCCCGAGTGATGCCCCTGGCAGCGTTTTGTGACCATGAGGCTCTCAAAAGATACATGTTGGGGGCGCCAAACGGCAATTCTAGCTGAGACGCCCCACCAAAATCGGCGCGAACGGGCTCGTGAGATCAGCCAGGGTGGCTCCCCCTTGGGGCTCCCAAATGATGCCCCCTGGCAGCGTTTTGCGACCATGAGGCTCTCAAGAGATACATGTTGGGGGCGCCAAACGGCAATTCTAGCTGAGACGTCCCACCAAAATCGGCGCGAACGGGCTCGTGAGATCAGCCAGGGTGGCTCCCCCTTGGGGCTCCCAAATGATGCCCCTGGCAGCGTTTTGCGACCATGAGGCTCTCAAGGGATACATGAGAGAGTGCGAGTGTGAGCTTAACTTGTCTTATCTTATCTTGAAATCTATTCTTATCATATCTTGTGTTATCTTATCTTATCTTGTAGTATCTTATCTTGTCTTGTCTTATCTGGTGATTATCATTGGGAGGAGGGAGGCGCGAGCGGGAGGAAGAAGGAGGAGGAGGAGTGGGAGGCGTCAGAGTAATAACAAGAACCCCAATCCTTAGGATATGGGGAATAACCAAAAAAATGCTCCAAAAATCGTCCCCGGACTATTTTTGTTGACTATCGTTGAATAGTCTTCCTGTTGAGGGACAGGTCCGACTTCATATCAGCATATTGGGCTGACGACGACGACGACGACGACGACGACGACGACGACGGGCGGGGCAGCGGCCCGCAGCTTTTACGCGCCGCGCCTCCGCATCCGGGCGGCGCGCCTCGCCTCGGCCTCCCCGCCGCCGCCCACGCCGCCGCCCCCGGGCGGCTCCCTCGCCGCCTGCGGCCGGGGCGGCACCGCCTGCCCACCCCCAGAGGGCCTCGGGCCTCCTTCGGGGATGGACAGACCCCCTTTAGCAAAACGGGGTTTAGTGAAAACGACCTGAGGCCCAGACCTGGCGGGCTCAAGCCTGGAAAATAACGGCCACGGCGCCCTCTCGAAAACCGACAACGGACAATTCACTAATCGACGTGTCACTGTTGGGGGTTCTGTCCACCCCCGACTCCTACCCAGGTCTTCGGCGATGATAGACAGGAAAGGAAAAGGAAAGAGAACCAAAAACAAATTATCCCGGCAAAGCAACCTAACAGCGATGTGTAGAAGCATAGCTGGAAACATTGCCTGTGGTATTCATGTAAGAGTGCTGTTGTAGAATTCAAGTATTCTGTAAGAGTGCTGTTGTAGAATTCTGTGAGTCTTGGAAATCTGGGGAAAGGAAGAGCACGAAGTGGCCTACAGTTGGCTCCGGGCATTCAAAATGTGGCCCGGGAGTGGAGTTCTGGGAAAAGGAAGAGCACGAAGTGGCCTACAGTTGGCTCCGGGCATTCAAAATGTGGCCCGGGAATGGAGTTCTGGGAAGTCCAAGAGCACGAAGTGGCCTACAGGTGGCTCCGGGCATCCAAAATGTGGCCCGGGAATGGAATTCTGGGAAGTCGAAGAGCACGAAGTGGCCTACAGTTGGCTCCGGGCATTCAAAATGTGGCCCGGGTATGGAGTTCTGGGAGGTCGAAGAGCACGAAGTGTGTGACTGTTTGCTTAAAACGAGCCCGGCCCTCGCCTGTCCGGCTCCTGCCCAGACCCCCCTGGGGAGTCATCAGATGCTCTCTTTTGACCCCATTAGAAACCTATCTGTCTTCGCTGTTAGGTAATAAAAACACACACACACACACACACACACACACACAGTCTCTCACAAAAAAACGCCATACACATAAACTGTTGGCGCTCCGCGCAGGTTCCTTGGATCCTTGCCGAGCCGCCCCCTCCCTGGCGCGCTCCGCGCGCCAAGGGCGGCGCCGGAGGCGCCGCCAGGGGGGGGGTCCCAGCGCGGATCCAAGAAGTCCGCGCGGAGCGCCAAAAGTTTATGCCTGTGGCGTTTTTCCCTCTCCGAGCGTTGCGACTGTGCCCCAGCCGGGTCGATCGCGGCCCCACGAGGGCCCGCCTTCTGAGTATCGTTGAACCGATCCCCATCCCCAGCGGCGTGGCCTGGGCCCCACTGGCCGATTCACCCCCCTAGATGGGGATTCGTTCCCTTCGGGCTTCGAGGGGTGCATCCCCAACTGGGGGGGGCATTTGGCGGGGGCCTCGATGGGGACGGGGATCAACGATACCGACCTTCGGCCCCACGAGGGCTGGTGACCTCGGGGCGGGGGCCAGGCCCGCGCGAGGCACGGGCGTCTCCCCCCCGGCCCCCTCTCAGCCCCGGGGGCGGGCCCTGGGCCCCCGCGGTCGCCGCGCGCGCCCTCCTGGCTTGGCAGACGTCCGACGACGTGCGCCTTGCAGTCCGTGGCCCCCGAGCTCCGGCGAAGAAGTCGTCGCCGTCGTCGTCGCCGCCGTCGTCGTCGTCGTCGTCGGCGTCGGCGTCGTCGGCGTCGGCGTCGGCGTCGGCGTCGGCGTCGGCGTCGTCGTCGTCGTCGACATGAGGACCACGCAGAGGGCACCGGCGCCATCCCCGTGCCTGGCGAGGGCCATCCCGGGCCCTGGCACAGGGCGTGTATGCGCCGCCGTGGCCGAGGCCAGAGCGAGCCACACACCATCCGTTAGGACCAGGACCAAGGGCCCCAGCAAATGGGGTCGGAGGATCGAACCGCATATCGGCGACGTCGGCGATGAATCGGCGAGTGGAGAAAATCGGGCTTCACATCGAGCCGCCTCGACGCTGCATCGGCGGTGCGGCGTGGTGCGGCACGGTACTTCGACCCCGTCTGCTCGGAACCCGTCTGGGAGGCGTGGAATCCTGGAGCCAAGGATGGCACTGACCAGGCACAGTGGCTTAGCTGCTCATTCTGGGCACCTTCTTGGAGCCACTCGCTCCACTCGCTCGTCGAAGCTGCGTCGAACGCCCGTCGACTCGGGTCGAACCTGAGTCGTACCTGAGTCGAATCTGGGTCGAACTTGACTCGAACTGGCGTCGAGCTCGATCCGGACTAGAGCTGAACAGATCCGCCAGGTGGGCTCCAGAGAGGTCCCCAACACGAGCATCGGCGCACCGGCCCCCCAGCGCCCCTCGGCAGGGTGGACAGCTGGCGCCCCCGGGCCGCCTCCGCCTTGCCCGCGGCCTGCCCGCAGCACGCCCAGCAGCAGCCTGGAAGGACGCCGTCACAAGAACTCAGCAGGGCGTAGCAGAACTCAGCAGGGCGTAGCAGGGCTTAGCAGGGCTTACCAAAGCTCACCAGGACTTACCAAGGCTTATACGAAGGCTAATCAGGGCTTGTCAATGCTTCCCAAGGGCCAGCACGGCTTAGCTTAGCGGAGCGAAGCAGACCAGAGCTTGCAGGGCCTAGCAAAACCCAGCAGGGCGCAGCAGGGCTGGCTTAGCACAGCCCAGCAGGGCGCTGCAGGGCGTAGGAGGGCTTGCCAGGGCTTACCAGCGCTGATAGCAGGGCTTACCAGAGCTCAGCAGGGGCCAGCAGGACTTAGCAGGGCTTAGCAGACTGCAGCACGGCCTCGCAGGGTTTCGCGGGGCTGCGCAAGGCTCAGCAGGGCTTAGCAGCAGTCCCCGCGCATTTGTGGCCGGTACTTCTAGCTGGGCCCTCAACATCAGCGCATGAAAACCTTGTTCGGGATTGGTGTACTGCACACTTCGTCGACGGCCGTTTCCTGTGGTTTCCTATAAGCCCACGAGGTCATTGCATTCCGATTGAATTTCGCTAGGAAGGAATCCGAGTGGATTCCTATTTTCTCATGTAATCCGTATTAACATCTTACTGCATTGTTGCTTGAATTCCTATGAGGCCTTCCTACTGGAATTCCTATTGAATTACAATAAGAAGGCTCCCGAATGAATTCCAATAGGGAGGCCGCCGCCAAAAACCCGAACCCAAACCTAAACCCAAACCCCCCAGTCCATGGGTCAAGTGTGACCCTAGCAGCAGTAGTAGTGGTAGCAGTTGTAATCGTAATGGGACCACTACTGCTACCACTACTACTACTACTACTACTACTACTACTACTACTACTACTACTACTACTACTACCACTGCACACTACTACTACTACTACTACTACTACTACTACTACTACTACTACTACTACTACTACTACTACTACTACTACTACTACTACTACTACTACTACTACTACTACTACTACTACTACTACTACTACTAAAAACAACAACAACAACAGCCAACAACAATACACTAGTACTAACAACAGTGCTAGTACTAACGATTCACTACTACTACTACCACACCACCAACCACCACCACACCACCACCACCACTACTACTACGACTACTAACTGCTACTACTACTACTACTACAACTACTACGACTTACTACTACTACTACTACTACTACTACTTACTATTACTACTTCTACTTCTTCTACTACTACTACTACTACTACTACTACTACTACTACTACTACTATGACTACGACTACGACTACGACTACTACTACTACTACTACTACTACTACTACTACTACTACTACTACTACTACTACTATTACTACTACTACCTACTACCTACTACCTACGGCCTACTACCTACGGCCTACTACGTACGACCTACTACCTACTACCTACTACCTACTACCTACTACCTACTACCTACTACCTACTACCTACTGCCTACTACTACTACTACTACTACTACTACTACTACTACTACTACTACCTACACTCTACCTACCTAACTACCTACTACCTACTACCTACTACCTACTACCTACACCTATTACCTACTACCTACTACCTACTACCTACTACCTACTAACCAACTACCTACTACTACTACTACTACCACCACTACCACTACCACTACCACTACCACTACCACTACCACTACCACTACCACTACCACTACCACTACCACGACTGCTACTACTACTACGACTACTACTACTATTACTACTACAGCTACTACTACTACTACTACTACTACTACTACTACTACTACTACTACTACTACTACTACGACTACGACTACGACTACGACTACGACTACGATTACGACTACTACTACTACTACTACTACTACTACTACTACTACTACTACTACTACTATAGTAGTAGAAACAGTAGTAGGAATAATAATAGCGTAAGGAGAAGTAGTGGTAGTAGTGGTCGTAGTAGTAGTAGTAGTAGAAGCAGCATTAGTAGTAGCAGTAGTAGTTGTAATGCTAGTACGAGTAGTAGTTGTAATGCTAGACGTAGTAATGGTAGTAATGCTACTACGAGTAGTGCAAGAGTATTACTAGTCGCAGCAACACCAGCAGTAACACAGTGATACTAATATTAAGCGCTTGCGTGGTAGAAGTCGCAACAATGATAGCGACAGCAGTCGTAATATTAGTAGTAGCCGTAGCTTTAGTAGTAGCAATATAATAACAGTAGTCGTAGTAGTGGCAGTAGTAGTAGTTGTGGTAGTAGTAGTAGTTGTAGTTGTAGTAATAATAACAATAATCATAATAATGGCTCGGCCTGGGTGGTGCATATCGATCATATGAACATCGTTCAAACACATGATTACCGCTCACGCATATGAACAACACCCAAACAATATCATGGAATGTGCATGATTATGCATATAAAGGTCTATGAGTACGTCTATGACTCGTACTCAAAGATATGCATGATTGCGTATATGCTCGTAGGCCTCGTTCAGGCCTGTTGGAAGCATCTGACATGCTTCTTGAAAGCCTCGAAGAGCCCTCTTAGAAGCTTCGTAGAAGCCTCATAGAAAACTCTAAGAGGCCTCTTAGCAGCCTCGTAGAGGTCTTTTAGAAGCCTCGAACAGGCCTCTTTGAAGCCTCGTAGAGGCCTCTTAAAAGCCTCTAAGGAGCCTCATAGAAGCCTCGTAGAGGCCTCATAAAACCGTCTAAGAGGCCTCTTAGAAGCCTGTACGAGGCCTCAGAGAAGCCTCTAACAGGCCTGAACGATGCCTCTGTGCGACGAGTAAGATTTCACTACGTTTTTTGGTCACCAACGAATAAATCTCTTTGAGCGGGGAAAACTCTTTTCAACCGGTGCATATCCCATCAAACCCGCGTTTACAATTCGAACCCTCCTCCTCCTCCTCCTCCTCCTCCTCCTCCTCCTCCTCCTCCTCCTCCTCCTCCTCCTCCTCCTTGTTTTAGCCGCCCCGCGGCGGGCCGCGCAGGCAGCCCAGCCAGCAGGCCAGGAGGAGCAGCGCCCAGCCCGCGGCGCGGCAGGCCTGGGCGCGCTGGTGGAGCCGCGCGAGGTGCGAGAGCACCTGGGCCTCTTCGACTCTTCGGGGGGGGGGCAGGAGCACTGGGAAGGGGGGTGGGGGAGGAGGAGGAGGAGGAGGAGGAGGAGGAGGAGGAGGAGGAGGAGGAGGAAGAGGAGGAGGAAGAGACGGAGGAGGACGACGAGGGGGAGGAGGAGGAGGACGAGGACGAGGAGGAGGAGGACCAGTGCAAACCCAAGAGCTATCAACGATGTTGGAATAAACCCTCCCTCCAAGCTCCCTCCCTCCGTCCCTCCATCCTTCCAACCCCTAGAACGGTGCATTCCCACTGAAGGAACTGCCTCGTTAGAAGACAACCGTTTGAAGACACTGAAGCATGCCAAAACATTGTTCGCGGGATTCCAACGCCACGGATCACCGAATGTTGCGTCTTGACGATCCTGAATCGCGCCAGAACGCCATTCTGGGGACTTCAACACCGCGAATCAGTGTAACTGTTGCGCCCTCATAATCCTGAGCCGTTCCAAAAAAACAATTTCTGATACGCTGATTTCTGATACGCTGATTTCTGAAGCCCTTGCAAACTTTAAAAACGAATGTGCACGGCGCTATGGCGAGAGCCACATTTTGAACAGGAGCCCCCCCCGCCCTGAGAATGTGAGAGAGCGTGATCCACCGCCGCTTTACTGTGGAAAATTGCCACCCTTTTCCTCCAGAGCCCGGGGGTCCCCCCCCCCCTCCGAAAATCCCCCCCCCCCTGCTGAATGGAACCCCCCCCCCTCCCCCTACACCCCCCCCCCTCCCCACCCCCCCCCCCCCACCCCCTCCTCCCCCTCGAAAAACCGTGGGGGTCACTACCGGTTCGAACCCCTCCCCCCCGCCAAAACCCCCCCACTCACCGCCAGCAAACGACTCCCGGTCCCTACCACCGTCCGCGCCACATCCCCCACTGTTGTTCCCAGCACCACTGTCCTCACCACCACTGTCCCCACTGGTTCCACCACCGTCCCTACTGTCCCCACCAGTGCTCCCACCACTGTCGCACTGTCCCCACTGTCCCCACCACTGTTCCCACCACGGTTCCACTCTCCCCACTTTCTCCACGGCCCCAACCACTGCCCGACTATCCCCACTGTCCCCACTGTCCCACTGACTCCTCCGCTGTCCCACTGAGCTGTCCCACTGTTCCCACCACTGTCCCCACTGTCCCCACCACTGTCCCCACTGTACCTCTGTCCCATTGTCCCACCGCCGTCCTCGCCACCGCCTTCACCACTGTCCCACCACCACTGTACCCTCCACTGTCCCACTGTTTCCACCTCCCCGTCCCCACACCACTGTCCCCACCACCACCGTCCCCACCACTGTCCACTGTCCCCACTGTTCCCACCATTGTCCTCACCACTGTCCCCACCACTACAGTCCCCACCACTGTCCCACTGTCCCCACCGCTGTCCCGCTGTCCCCTCACCACTGTCCCCACCACCACCGTCCCCACCACTGTCCGCACCCACTCTTGGTTCTCGAGGAGGGGGGGGGTTCGAACTGGTAGTGACCCCCCACGGTTTTCGAGGGTGGGGTGGGGGGGTTCGAACCGGTAGTGACCCCCCCCCTTTTCATGATGAACTGGGGGGGGGGGGAGGGGTTCGAACCCGTAATGACCCCCCTGGCGGTTTTCCGGAAGGGGGGGGGAGGGGTTCGAACCGGTCGGTAGTGACCCCCCCCGGTTTTCCGCCAGCAGCGGTAGAAGACGCTCTTTCTCATGTCTCAGGCGAACGCCCAGTCCGCCCTAAAAAACTGGCCCCAAGGGTGCGACAGGGAGAAATTACTGACTTTGAAAAGGCATGGAGGTGTAGGAGTGACGAGGAGGGAGAGGAGGAGGGGGAGGAGGAGGAGGGAGGAGGATTGGAGAAGGACGAAGAGGAGGAGGAGGGGGAGGAGGAGGGAGGAGGAGAGGAGGGGAAGGAGGAGGAGGAGGAGAAGGAGCAGGAGGAGGAGGCGGAGGAGTCTTGAGGTCAATATATGTTATGTCTCTCTTCTCCTCCCTCTCTTTCCGCCTTCAGCTGACTTTACCTTTACCTTTTTATGGCATACCCACATAACCAACGATAACATTCGCAAGGCTATTAGTTTGACCAACCCCTCAGGGCCGACTGGCCCTGGGGAGGAGGACTACATCCGATGGGTCTTCATGCCACTAGGAACCAGGAGACAGGAGGAGGTGAACCAGCTTAAACCCAAGACTCATCAACGGTGTCGCAATAAACCCTCTCTCTGAATTCCCTCTTCAGAGGCTGCTACAAGGATCTACAGTAAACCGTACGTGAAGGACGCATGATAAGGATGCGAGGGCTTTGGAAGGGCATGTCGACACTTTGCGAGCGGGGCGCGGCCAACGAAAGCGGCCAAAGATGGGCCGAAAGGGAAGGATGCAAGGGTAGCCATGCAAAACTGTTCATCCTGATTATGCGGGTTGACTGTATCTTCAATGCGGGAAGAGAGCCCCGTTGGAAGACAACCGTCTGAAAATATTCACCCGTGCCACATTACCAATCCTAAGACTTCAACGCCACGAACCATCATTACTGTTGCGACCTGATGATCCTAAATCATGCCAGAAAACTAAACCTGGGACGTCAAACCGCGAATCAACGTGACTGTCGTGCCCTGACAACCCTAAGTCGTGCCAAAGCATATTTTAGTGACGTCAACCTGGTATTGTATCGTATGGTAGGTATGCTATTGTATGGTAGGTATGGTATGGTATTGTATGGTATGTATGGTATCGTATGGTGTGGTATGGTATTGTATGGTACGTATGATATATAGTATGGTTGGTATGGTATGGTATTGTTCGGTATTGTGTGGTATGTATGGTATGGTATGGTGTGGTATGGCATGGTAGGTATGGTATGGTATGGTATGGCATTGTTTGGTAGTGTGTGGTATGTATGGTATGGTATGGCATGGTATGGTATGGTATGATATGGCATAAAAATCTTTGAATTATTCACTGCGTGGAGCTCCCCATATGTGCATCTACTCGCATGGACCTGTCCGCCGTGAATGTCTAGGCGCAAGAGCTTTCGAATATTAACGGGCTTCAGTTGTGACGGTCTGGACATCAATCTAACTGCGAATGAATTGGAGTGTGAATGAGCCTCAGTAGTACGAGCGCGTCTCTGTGCATGAGCCTGGGGCCTCCTGGGGCCTCCTGAAACCTACTGGGGCTTCCTGGGGTCTCCAGGAGCCTCTTGGGACCTCCTGGGACCTCCTTCGAAGGTTTCGTGCCCCAGGAGAGGCGTAATCTATAGCAACAGAGGTACATAAAACATTGCGGATTAGAGCCACAGGAGAAGGGCAATATATAGGAACACGCGGAAAACACCAAGGACTCGTGTCCCAGGAGAGGCCCAATATATATGAACATGAGTAAAACATGTAGGATTGTGTACACAGGAGAAGGACCATCTATAGAAACATACGTAGAACATCAAAGAATCGTGCTCCAGTTGAGGCCCAATCGATAGGAGCATACGTAAAACACATGGGATTGGAGCCACTCCTGTTGCCTTCTGAGGCCTCCTGCTCCTGGGGCCTCTCGGGGCCTCCTGTTGCCTTCCGAGGCCTCCTGGCGCTTCCTGTTGCCTCCTGGGGCCTCCTGTGGTTTCCTGAAGCCTTCTGGAGCTTCCTGGGGCCTCCTGGAGCCTCTTGGGACATCCTGTAGCCTCTTGAGTCTTTCTGTGGCCTCCTGATGCCTCCTGGGACCTCATGTGGTCTCCTGGGGCCTCCTGGAGCCTGTTGGAGCCTCCTGTGGCATCCTGAGAAGAATCTGCGCCCACGAGCCTGGCCACCAAAACTAGCAAACCGATCGAGACATCCTCAAAATCTGGCCCACCTGGGGGGTGAAAATGAGCGCCTCGCTCGAGACATCCTCCAAATCTGCTCCGAAAGCGAAGGATGTTGAGCCCAGAAACAAGCAAACCGCCTGAGACATCCCCACAAAATGGCAGCGAACGAGCCCGTGCAACCACCCCTGGCGGCTCCCCTTAGGGCCACGAGCCTGGCCACAAAAACAAGCAAACCGATCGAG